ATGAGGCAATGGTTACACACATATGAGGCAATGGTTACACACATATGAGGCAATGGTTAGACACACATATGAGGCAATGGTTAGACACACATATGAGGCAATGGTTAGACACACATATGAGGCAATGGTTAGACACACATATGAGGCAATGGTTACACACATATGAGGCAATGGTTACACACATATGAGGCAATGGTTAGACACACATATGAGGCAATGGTTACACACATATGAGGCAATGGTTAGACACATATGAGGCAATGGTTAGACACACATATGAGGCAATGGTTACACACATATGAGGCAATGGTTAGACACATATGAGGCAATGGTTACACACACATATGAGGCAATGGTTAGACACACATATGAGGCAATGGTTAGACACACATATGAGGCAATGGTTAGACACACATATGAGGCAATGGTTAGACACAGATATGAGGCAATGGTTAGACACACATATGAGGCAATGGTTAGACACACATATGAGGCAATGGTTAGACACATATGAGGCAATGGTTAGACACAGATATGAGGCAATGGTTAGACACAGATATGAGGCAATGGTTAGACACACATATGAGGCAACATGAGGCAATAGACACACATATGAGGCAATGGTTAGACACACATATATGAGGCAATGGTTAGACACACATATGAGGCAATGGTTAGACACACATATGAGGCAATGGTTAGACACATATGAGGCAATGGTTAGACACATATGAGGCAATGGTTAGACACACATATGAGGCAATGGTTAGGCACACACAATGGTTATATGAATGGAGGCAATGGTTAGACACACATATGAGGCACATATGAGGCAATGGTTAGACACACATATGAGGCAATGGTTAGACACACATATGAGGCAATGGTTAGACACACATATGAGGCAATGGTTACACACATATGAGGCAATGATTAGACACACATATGAGGCAATGGTTAGACACACATATGAGGCAATGGTTACACACATATGAGGCAATGGTTACACACATATGAGGCAATGGTTAGACACACATATGAGGCAATGGTTAGACACACATATGAGGCAATGGTTAGACACACATATGAGGCAATGGTTAGACACACATATGAGGCAATGGTTAGACACACATATGAGGCAATGGTTAGACACACATATGAGGCAATGGTTAGACACACAATGGTTATATGAGGCAATGGTTAGACACACATATGAGGCAATGGTTAGACACAATGGTATGACACACATATGAGGCAATGGTTAGACACACATATGAGGCAATGGTTAGACACACATATGAGGCAATGGTTACACACACATATGAGGCAATGGTTACACACATATATGAGGCAATGGTTAGACACATATGAGGCAATGGTTATGAGGCAATGTTACACACACATATGAGGCAATGGTTATGAGGCAATGGTTACACATATGAGGCAATGGTTAGACACACATATGAGGCAATGGTTAGACACACATATGAGGCAATGGTTACACACACATATGAGGCAATGGTTAGGCAATGGTTACACACATGAGGCAATGCAATTAGACACACATATGAGGCAATGGTTAGACACACATATGAGGCAATGGTTACACACATATGAGGCAATGGTTACACACACATATGAGGCAATGGTTAGACACACATATGAGGCAATGGTTAGACACACATATGAGGCAATGGTTACACACACATATGAGGCAATGGTTAGACACACATATGAGGCAATGGTTACACACACATATGAGGCAATGGTTACACACACATATGAGGCAATGGTTACACACACATATGAGGCAATGGTTACACACACATATGAGGCAATGGTTAGACACACACACATATGAGGCAATGGTTAGACACACATATGAGGCAATGGTTACACACATATGAGGCAATGGTTACACACACATATGAGGCAATGGTTACACACACATATGAGGCAATGGTTACACATATGAGGCAATGGTTAGAGGCAATGGTTAGACACACATATGAAGGCAATGGTTAGACACACATATGAGGGTTAGACACACATATGAGGCAATGGTTAGACACACATATGAGGCAATGGTTACACACACATATGAGGCAATGGTTAGACACACATATGAGGCAATGGTTACACACACATATGAGGCAATGGTTACACACATATGAGGCAATGGTTACACACATATGAGGCAATGGTTACACACATATGAGGCAATGGTTACACACATATATGAGGCAATGGTTAGACACACATATGAGGCAATGGTTAGACACACATATGAGGCAATGGTTAGACACACATATGAGGCAATGGTTAGACACACATATGAGGCAATGGTTACACACATATGAGGCAATGGTTAGACACACATATGAGGCAATGGTTAGACACACATATGAGGCAATGATTAGACACACATATGAGGCAATGGTTAGACACACATAGGCAGGTTACAACATATGAGTTAGACACACATATGAGGCAATGGTTAGACACACATATGAGGCAATGGTTAGACACACATATGAGGCAATGGTTAATGGTTACACATATATGAGGCAATGGTTACACACATATATGAGGCAATGGTTAGACACACATATGAGGCACACACATATGAGGCAATGGTTAGACACACATATGAGGCAATGGTTAGACACATATGAGGCAATGAGAGGCAATGGTTAGACACACACATGGTTAGACACACATATGATGAGGCAATGGTTAGACACATATGAGGCAATGGTTACACACATATGAGGCAATGGTTAGACACACATATGAGGCAATGGTTAGACACACATATGAGGCAATGGTTAGACACACATATGAGGCAATGGTTAGACACACATATGAGGCAATGGTTAGACACACATATGAGGCAATGGTTAGACACACATATGAGGCAATGGTTAGACACACATATGAGGCAATGGTTAGACACACATATGAGGCAATGATTAGACACACATATGAGGCAATGATTAGACACATATGAGGCAATGGTTAGACACACATATGAGGCAATGGTTAGACACACATATGAGGCAATGGTTAGACACACATATGAGGCAATGGTTAGACACACATATGAGGCAATGGTTAGACACACATATGATGCAATGGACACACATATGAGGCAATGGTTAGACACACATATGACACACATATGAGGCAATGGTTAGACACATATGAGGCAATGGTTATATGAGGCAATGGTTAGACACACACAATGGTTAGACACATATGAGGCAATGGTTAGACACACATATGAGGCAATGGTTAGACACACACATATGAGGCAATGGTTAGACACACATATGAGGCAATGGTTAGACACACATATGAGGCAATAGACACACATATGAGGCAATGGTTAGACAAGGCAATGGTTAGACACATATATGAGGCAATGGTTAGACACACATATGAGGCAATGGTTAGACACACATATGAGGCAATGGTTAGACACACATATGAGGCAATGGTTAGACACACATATGAGGCAATGGTTACACACACATATGAGGCAATGGTTAGACACACATATGAGGCAATGGTTAGACACACATATGAGGCAATGTGTTAGACACAGCTATGAGGCAATGGTTAGAGCACACATATTGATGGCAATGGCTATCTGGATCAATGAGGACACACATATGAGGCAATGGTTACAGACACACATATGAGGCAATGGTTAGAACGTAAACACATATGAGGCAATGGTTAGACACACATATGAGGCAATGGTTAGAAAGGATACTCAACCAACTGAGGCAATGGTTAAGCCAGACAATCGTGACATCGTTGAAAATGTGTGTTCATGAGGAAACCGAGGGCGCAGAGCCAGAAGTCAAACATAATGAATGGAGAAACCAATCACGTGAAGACGAATGAGAATCATCCGTGAACGATAACCAAGGAGGGCAAGAGAAAGGAAGACGGAAGTCTTGACTGTGTGAGTGAGTCGCCGAAGACTGAGTCATCAGAGAGAACATGCAGAGGTATGTCGACCCGCTTGAGTAGACACACAGCCAACATATGTTTTTGTTACTAGTTTGTGTAAGCACATGAGACAAGCGATGAGTGTTGTCAGACATGAAGCAGGAAACAGCCCTACCTGTTTCACGGAAAACTGAAACTGTGGTAATTATTTGCTCGTTGAAACATTCGGTTGGGAAACAAACCTCCTTCAATTTTCTTGACATTAGGCGATTGAGCTTCGGCAACGTTCGGTTAGAATAGGGTGGAGCATGGGAGAAACAAAACAGTCAGCAAGCTTCTTCTACAGGAGAGATAGATACAAAACATCGGCATTATAATCTGGTCAATACAACATAATCTCCTCTTTGAAGTCGGGTGGTCAGGTAACCGTCTCATGAAGTTATCCCTATCGGACATCGCCGAATACTGGCGTATCATGGAAACGCTCTAATTTTGTTCTGTTTGTGGGGAAAACGAACTTTTATGAACACGTTTTTTTTTTTTTTTGGGGGGGGGGGGGGGGGGAGAACTTAATAACAGAATGTCCTTTCGTTTGCGATGTCTCCTGTGGCTTTTGCGTCACTTTATTTTTTCTTTTTAAATTATTTATTTGTGATACAACTTGTACGTAAATGTTCTATAATAAATGACAAGGGTCAAGAACTGTTCATATTGCTCTGTCGTTGATAAATCTCTGCCAGATGGTGACAACAGTCTTGATATTATCACTGACATCTAAGTTTAGGATATGAAAATTGAATAAAATGTGTTAATGGGATCATTTGTTTCAATCAGCTGTTGTTCCTGTTTTCGGTTGTGAAATAAAAAACCACTGCCGCCGCCGAAAAAGCTGAGCGCCAAATCTGCTTGCTCACGTTTGCCTGTCTACTCCGATGGTAAAACAGATAGCAGTGACATTTTTTGTAGTTATTGTGGTGGTGGTAGTTGTTGTACTGGGACTTGAAAGATGATGTGTTAAATTTTACAACAGCCGCATTTACTATTCCTTACAATTCCTGCTCCCTATTTTAGTCCGGATGGACAGGGATATCAAGGTCAGTTGCAAGAAATATCGTCAGGTGGTGACACTAAAATCCTTCCAAGAGGGAGAGAGCAGTAGTTGGTGGATGGGGAAGGGGACGGGGTGATGACTGAAACTATTAACTTAAAGAGCTTAACACATGGTTTTAAAGTTTTCATTTCTTAATTTGTTTTTATTTAACTAACGCTACATCCGTTATTCTCATTTTTTTTTTTCATGACTTGGTTATTTACAAGTACAGTAGTAAGCTTTACCTCCGTCTCTAAAAAGAAATACAAACAGCTTCAGCATGTGATACCCAAATAACTATTTTTTTAAACTGTGCTAATAGTACCATTAAAAGACCACTAATATAAACACAAAAATATATGTTGCGTGTTTTGAAGTCGGCAAACTAGACTATCTCTTTATCTGTGCAGACAATGATTGCGACATTAACTATATTAGAAACGTGCGATTTCTATTGTCTTTCTTTTCCAAGAACCTTCGATGAGGGAGAGAGTAGAAGGTGGATTTGAGGGGGGGGGGGGAGGGGGCATCGGAGACTATCTCTGTATCTGGGCAGACAATAATTCCGATTGTAACCATATTAGACGCGTGCGATTTTTATTGTCTTTCTTTTCCATTTAGCCAAACTATACCACAGCAACGCGTGGCCGGGTACAGCTAGTAATAATATAAATATCTAAAGGGAAAGCAAACTGAGGTACCCGTGTATCACTTTTCGATAAAAGCCTGTAATTTAAGGATCACCTGGAGGCAGTTGTAGCGGAATGCCAAAACGGACCCAAAAAGATATGGCAACAAGGGACATGGAACAACGAATGCTGTTTAGTGTCCCAGCAAGTGATCCTGTCGATGATACATTATGGCTTTGGAATGCTGACCATATCAAAGAGTCAGCTGTTGAAACTTAAACGCCTACAGAATCAAGCCGTGATAGTGATTCTGGAATGTACAAGAGATACCCTGGTAGTATGTATGCGTTTTATACTTGCACTGCGAGCTATCACAGATAGGCCCAAAATGCAGCAAGAAAAGTCATATCTCAGAGTAGCTGCCGAGAAGAATCAGCATGAATCCCTGGGTAGAGCTAAGGGTCACAGACCGAAAAAAAAGAATGTCTGTATGGTGCAGGCTGAAGACACAATTTGACATGCGTGTGTAGGTTCGATACCATAGGCCCAGGAGAGGAATGGGTGAGAATATTCCAGCATATGTCAGTCTTGTGTAGGGTTCTGGTCAAACTAGTATCCCAGCAAATGTCAGCCTTGTGTAGGGTTCTGGTCAAACTAGTATCCCAGCAAATGTCAGTCTTGTGTAGGGTTCTGGTCAAACTAGTATCCCAGCAAATGTCAGTCTTGTGTAGGGTTCTGGTCAAACTAGTATCCCAGCAAATGTCAGTCTTGTGTAGGGTTCTGGTCAAACTAGCATCCCAGCAAATGTCAGTCTTGTGTAGGGTTCTGGTCAAACTAGTATCCCAGCATATGTCAGTCTTGTGTAGGGTTCTGGTTAAACTAGTATCCCAGCAAATGTCAGTCTTGTGTAGGGTTCTGGTCAAACTAGTATCCCAGCAAATGTCAGTCTTGTGTAGGGTTCTGGTCAAACTAGTATCCCAGCATATGTCAGTCTTGTGTAGGGTTCTGGTTAAACTAGTATCCCAGCAAATGTCAGTCTTGTGTAGGGTTCTGGTCAAACTAGTATCACAGCATATGTCAGTCTTGTGTAGGGTTCTGGTCAAACTAGTATCCCAGCATATATCAGTCTTGTGTAGGGTTCTGGTCAAACTAGTATCCCAGCATATGTCAGTCTTGTGTAGGGTTCTGGTCAAACTAGTATCCCAGCATATGTCAGTCTTTTGTAGGG